CAAACGATGGAACTACATGGCACTTCATACCGCCAAGAGCGCCTAACTTCGGTGGTTTGTGGGAAGCAGGAATCAAATCTGTTAAGACTCATCTCTTGAGGGTCTTAGGCAATACAACATTAACTTTTGAGGAAATGACAACATTACTTGCACAAATAGAGGCTTGTCTTAACTCTCGTCCCATCTGTGAGTTAAATGACGATCCTAACGATGTTGCTGCACTCACACCTTCACACTTCTTAATAGGTGAACCCTTAGTGGCTATACCGGAGAAACTACAAACTAATTTCAACATCACCCCTCTGGATCGCTGGAAACTAGTTAGAAAAATTAGTGCTCATTTTTGGCAACGGTGGAGTGTTGAATATTTGCATTCTTTACAACAACGCCATAAGTGGAATTCTAAAACAAAGGCTCCAGAAAAGGGTGACATAGTCCTCATAAAGGAACCAGCTCTCCCCCCTACTAAATGGCTACTGGCACGGGTCTTGGAAACACATCCGGGACAAGATGGGGAGGTGAGAGTGGTGAGTCTGCAAGCCAAGTCAGGCTTGCTGAAGCGTCCAGTTTCAAAACTGGTCGCTATATCTTCACACTAACTACGGTGGGCGGCGACAAGAAGAACGGAGTTCTTGGTGGGCGGGATGTTTGCTTATAACGCCATCTAGTGATAGCATTTACACAACTTCTTGTCGTCAATTCATCGAAGCGGTCGCGGCCGCTTTTTTAATCTGTCATCTGTCATCGCGTCTGCAAAAAACCACCAACGTCGTGCCGTGAGTTAAATTCAAATTTTGCTTAATTTATACAATTTACTATACAATATTTGTCATGTCATGTCATTTTGAAATTTGCTATTGATAATTTGACACATGTAAAAAATAAAATTTTCATAATTATATGCGGAAGAAGTCGCACGGGAACAGCTAGTAAAAAATAAATCTATAAAATGTCAGAAAGCCTTGACTTACAATTTAAGAAATTAACAAAATAAATTCTAATCTAATTTGGAAGTTTTATCAATTTAAATAAAATAACGAAGTTAAAATAAACATAAGGTACTCCATTAAACGAACATCGGCTGGTAATAAAAAGAAAATTCGAACAAATTACCGATCAGCGTTAAGAAGTGCGATGCTCTCGGATTTGTAGGGAAAAAAAGAAAATTTAAATTCGTCCTTAATTGTTAACAAAAATGAATCATGCAAGATATGAGCAAGAAAACGTTCTTAAATATTTAAACAAAAAAAATTTTTTTTTTGCGATGTCAATCGTGATTTTAAATGATTACAATTATTCCTGAATACAGGTTTTATTATGTTTTTTACTTTTACGTGATATCAACAATAACTATCATTTTTATTGTAAACTTACTTACCTTTTAAATTGTTAAACCTTTTAAATTAAGTTACCTTTTAAATTGTTGTAAAAATAATTAAGTACCGAAAATGAACTAAAGAGAACAATATCCTTAAGAAAACAATACAAATGACACATTTTTATTTAAATAATTCAGTACTGCATAAAACTGTCCAAGACGCGCCGTGCCTTGATTAGTCCGGTCCGATTTTTCCGTTCAATTGAGCTTATGAAAAGTCCGTCGGCGACGTTCCCGACCGTCGCCCAACACGGTCCGTAATGACTGTTTGATCTCATTACTGGACCAAATCCGAACAACTTCAATATTCATGTTCATTTCATAACCATGAAGCTTGAGAAAGGAAAACGAAGCTTATTTATACTTAGCTTAAACTTATCTGACGAATTAATAATTGAATTGCGTAAATAGAAGAAAAGGTGTGGTCTTGCTGTGCATGTAGGTCTCCAGTAAATTCTCAGCCCAGAAAGACTATAAATTCGAATCGTGACATTACACGGAACAAGTAAAGTCGAAGTAAAGCCTAAGCATAGTCGAAATACGCTCTATAAATTACAGCCTAAGTATTAATTCAGTCTTAAGATTATCTTAATGTTTTTGCGCACTCAAATGTTGCTTTAAATAACTTTTACAGATTACAATTATAATAACTAACGATTATTAGAACGTCAAATTAAGTATGCTAACCAAATTTCTATCAGTATGAACGTTTGTATCTGAATTCCAACTTTCATTCGGAACATGGAACATGGGCCGACTCGCCCGGTGTAATACCACGACCACACAGAAAACAGGTGTGAAGTGGAAGCAATTCCGCGTTTTGTCTGATGAGTTTTTTTTTATAACATAAGGTGGCAAACGAGCAAGCGGTTACCTAAAATCGCCAAAATGGCGAAGCGACCGCTGCCCGTAGACATCCGCAATTGCAGATGCGTTGCCTACCCTTATACGACGGAGGAGGAGACGCACATAAAGGGGATATTTCCCCTTCCTGTGCATCTCCTCCACTGTCAAGTCCATTTCCCCTTCCCAACCTCTCCTTATAAGAAAAGGGTGGTAAAGAGAAAGGGACTTAAATTGGTGGTAAAGGAGTGTGGTGCCGGAGGCCTAATTTTATTAAGAGGAAAGAATGGGAAGGAAAAGTAGATTTGACGGTGGAGGAGACGCATAGGAAGGGGAAATGTCCTCTTTATGTGCGTCTCCTCCTCCGTCGATTAAGAGTAGGCAACGCATCTGCAATTGCGGATGTTTATGGGCAGCGGTCGCTTTCCATTTCGGTGGATTCAGGTGGCCGCTTGCTCGTTTGCCACCTTATATTATAAAAAAAAACAATGACAGCTTTTACTTATATTAAAAATTCTGGGATTCGTAGGAAAATCCTCCTTCGGTCTAATTGATAATATTAGTGGAAACAAACACAATGATTTCTTTTTTGTGAGAAAAGTTAACCTTTAACTATTCTTTAAAATGCTATCTAACCAAAACTAACAAAGAACTAAAGAAATTCACGTATTCGGAGATAATAAACAAAAAGCAACCAATGAATTTCCATGTACTTATGCAGTACCAACAAGTCGTAACATTGTCAGCTTTTGTGCGGAGTTTACGGCACCAGTTTCATTCAACAGCCCTCCCCCCACCCGCCCTCCACATCGCTGTATTGACCGACTGTACTGCGCATGCCTCAAACAAAACATACAATGTTTCTGGATGCGACAAGCATTAGGTTAAAAGTAGTTATAAAAACTTTTTGTAAGTGTTCTATGAAAACTTTAACAATATGCATTAAACATTTTAGGTCACTTGTATAGAAAATTTGATCAGATAAACCAATTTAAAATATTTTTCTGTAATAAAAACTGTAATATATATTTGACTCTTACTTAGTGCTAATGTATGTATGTTATTATTTATTTTTAATAATATGAAGCCCAACATAAAACACTGAAGTTACTAGTCAGTTACTTTTGTCTATATTCCAGAGGTATGTCTCTTCCAGACGTTCTTATCAGTGTCGCCTCAGAGCTGGGAGCGTATAAAGCACACGGGCACACGGGATTATAACTAAGCTGTTTACAGCGCAGTTGACTGCTAATATTTTACACATATACCTAATTTGTTAAATTGTTTTATATTAAAACTTCCTTTATCCTTATTATTTTTTGTCTAAACCAAGTAATAAAGATCTGGGTGATCTGTTTGATTCCTGTCTACCCTGTTCTTCGGAGATGTTTGTTATCCCTGAATAAAAACTTAATAATGTTTTTTCTAAGCGCCAATAGCATAATGGTTTGGGATACGGACTACCGATCTTGCGGTCAAGGGTTCGAATTCCGCCATTTAAATAACGTCGTGAACCATATCCTAGCACAAGCATAGAGCTTAGTTGGAGTAGTCAAAGGAAATTTTAGTAAATTAACAAAATCTATTAATATTTTAATAAAAGAAAAGAAATAATACAGAAAAAGAAAATCTTCCTTACACCAAAATATAATAATAATTCTTTATCATTATTCTTAAATCCCATAGTTTATCTATTTCCTTATCCACTCTCCTCTTACTTAAACACATGTATCACTTACTTGTAGTCATTTGTAACAGGCCAAGGCCAAAATCATTGTTTCTACTGTCAACGAACCTAAAATGTATCACAGCTACGATCTAGTTTACAACAAAACGTAACAATAAGCGATTTTTCATTTTATTAGTAAATATACCGATTCAGCCTAATCGCGGTGTACACAGTAACAATCATTAAAACAGCATCGCAGTACAAAAGGGCAAACAAAAACAATATAAATCAAAATGAAGAACAATCCATTAACTCGATCCACAATAAAAAAGAAAGATGGCCGCCGCCGATTGGCGGTTCCCTTGACAGTAGAATGTGATTGGCCGACGCGTTCACTCGCTGCGTTCAGAAATTCGATACTTTTTAATAATAGCTCCTTTAGCTAATGCGATCGCCTTTTATATTACATCGCCGTAGGTTAGTATTTTATTACATAGACAACCCAAATACGGCCTTAAGTGGTCGGCAACGGCTGTGGGAAAGGGGATACCGCTTGTTTCGGATTTCTCTTTATGTGTGGTTCGATTAGGTCGGATCGTGTGGGATCATCTAAGGGGAGAAATTGATAATGTTTTCTGTTTTTGGTTATTAAGTTAATTATCAACAGTTTCGTTAACTGCATCTGGTTTATTATTTTTCTCTTCAATTTTAACTTATTGTGTAATTAATTGCTAAAGATTTTTTCATATAGACGTTGAAAGTTTTGATATTTTACTTCTACCTATCTATCATCTACTTATAAGATGGAGCACTCCTTACGAATACTATTTAAAAATGATGTTTACAATATTTGCAAATTAGCGATTTCAGATTTTTTTCTATCATTTATATATCTAAGATAAAAGACACTTAATGACCAATATCAAGCAATAAGGCGATTATACAAGTATTGTATTTGCACAACGTTTTACCAATATACGACAAACATGATAAAATAACACTGCCATTTAAAATAAATAAAAAAACACAGATAAACAATAACTGGCCGCAAATGAAATCTCAATCGAGTACTAATAGATAAAACAAAAAACTATCACAAATTCAATCTAGAATCAAGACATAATGCTAGTTTCACACAAGGGTAGAACAGGAGACATAGTACTGGTATTCGGTTTTAAATTTATTGTTAATACAGTACCTTTCTGTATTATTTTAAAGTATTGACTACCGAAACATTTGAATATATTGTAGCCTTTTTTGTCCAAAAGAATTATAGGTATGAGTATACAAGAGTCAAGGCAGTAGAAACCCACTGTTAGCGTTCAAACAATAGCAGTACCGCACTCTCGTACTGGTTCTCTATTATACCCTCGTGTGAAACAAGCATTATAAAAAAACTATCACAAACACAATCTAGAGAGAGACTAATCAGAGTGCAAGCACTGTAAATCATTATCAAACAAGTTATTGCTTAAATACGCGAGATACTCGAGACTCATTGATGGGGCTGCGCAAACAAAAATATCGACAGTTCGATAACTGATGCGTCAATCGATACTGACCCCGCACTGGTATCACATTGAGCAAATACTCGTAGGTGAGCGATAAAAAGTGAATGTGCTTCAAATTGAAATGCAACGATTATTTTAGTGATGTAACTTGTTTCGAAAATTGCTTAGTAAATCAGAGTAATTTCACATATACAATAACTATGAATTCTTGTATGTCATATATTCCAGTATGATTTAATTCGATGTTTTATATCGCAGATTTTATATTCTCTGTATTCCATGCTTCTTATCTTTATTAACGCCCCGATTGGTTACCTACCTTCAGTTTTAACTACACTATCGGACTGTTTAACTGTGCAGTTAAAATGAAGGTTTAGCTGGCTTACTGCCAATTTCATTCGGCACATCGTTTAC